TAAATAAATGAATCTGATGCTGGCAAAAAAATTTTTTTAAGGGGCGTAGAGGGAAAAAGAATTGTTATGTACATGTACTAATTCCCTACAATGAACATAATCATTATGTATTGCAAACATGTACTAGTAAAAATACAGTCTATAATCCCAGCACTCTGGAAGACTAAGGCAGGAGAACTGCAAATTCAAGCCCAACCTGGGCAATTTAGCAAGACTCTGTGTCAAAATTTTAAAAAGTGTGTGTGTATGTATATATATATATGTATATATATATATGTATATATGTATACATATACATATATACATATATATATATACATACATATATATGAGAAAATTCTAAAACTGAGTCATTTATTTTTAGAAAGCATTGTTATCTATCACATTCCCCTAGGGCAGTGATATGAACCTTTTAGAGCCAATGCCCAAACTGTAACTCAAGACCCACTTATTTATCACAAAGTGCCAATACTGTAATTAAACCTGAAAATAAAACATGGTTTTATTTTAGAAAAAACAATTCATACATTAACATCTTTAGTCTTAAAAGAAAAACAAATAACATAGGTTGCCACCACTGCCCCTAGGGTCTGTTAGAAATTTAAAGCCTTGTAAGACACAATGTACCTACCTTCAAGAAACTTATCAAGACTCCCATCAGCCAGTAGTAAGAAGTGCCATTCAAGAAGGGAAAAATAAATGCTACAGAAACCTAAGAGGCTAGGTAAAAATGAGAAGCCACTATGAAAGTGCTAATCCATTTAAGCTAAGATATGGAGGGTGGCTAAAATTAGGATATGTGAAGAACAGGGAAAGGGAAGCATCTAGACAGATGACTGGGCCTTCAAGAAAAGACATGGGGGCAAACGATTTCAAGAATAAACAGTATGGACAAGACAGAAAATCAAAATTATGCAGGTGAAAATAGGTAAGAATAACAAGGCAGACTGGGGCCAGGTTATACATCTTCAAAAGTAAACTGAGGGGCTGGGGATTTGGCTCAGTGGTTCTGCCACCTGCCTTGCCAGCGCAAGGTCCCAAGTTTGATCCCCAGTACCAAAAAAAAGTAAACTGAAATTAACTTTAGACAACTGGAGGTCTGCAGGTCCTTAGGCAAAAGCAGCACATGATCACAGCACAGCACTATTATAGGAAAATTATTCTGGCAACTATTTGCTGGATTGGCTGGAATGGGAAAGAAGCAAGAGCTTGGAGGCTCAGTTAGGAGATTGGTTGGGAAGGTAATACAATAGACTGAACATAAAATAAGACCCTGCACTAAAGTTTAACGTGGGAAGCCACAGACAGGTCAAACATGGACTCCGCAGTCAAAAGGACCTGGGTGTAACTCCTAGACATCAATAGCTGTTATCAAGGTTTATTTTAACAGCATTATCAAGATATAATCTGCATACAATTCACCCACTTAAAGCTTATAATTCAATGGTTTCCATTATATTCACAAAGTCATACATCCCTTACATTACCACAATCATTCTGAAAATATCTTCAATACTTCAAAAAGAAATCCCATTCCTTCAATCTCCCCTCTGGATATAAGCATCCATTTAATCTACTTTTTTCTGATTTGTTTATTCTGGTCATTTCATATAAATGGAGTCATAAAATGTGGTCCTCTGTGGTTTCTATGACTTAGCATAATGTTTTCAAGATTCAGTGATATTATAAAATGTTATCAGTATTGTATTTCTTACTGCTTTCATTCATTCTTCAATCCTTGGTCATTTGAGTTATTTCTGCTTTTTGGCTATCTGAATAATGCTGTGCTAAGAGCTTCATCAGTTCCAATTATCTGTGAAACAGAGATATTAATTCTCATGAATTAATGTATGTAAAGAAGAGTGTTTGGCACAGAGTAAATGTTCAGGACATCCTACAGTAGTTCCATTCTCTCTACTTACCACACTCTGGGTAAACTAAAGGTTCTTAAAGGAGCTTTCCATCGTCACCTAACTGTACTGTATCTTCAACCCAGCAATATATGATTCTTTTAACTCAGGAGTTGCCTTCAACATTTCTTTCAGATTCTTCATATTTTGCTAACAGAACTCTGAGGTTCCCTTTTCAATATATATGCTTTATTCAATAAATGTTGAATTATTATTATCTTGTCCTTTATGTTTCTGTTTACACAAAGTTTCAAAGAGCCATTTTACAACCTTCTTTTTCTTTCCATTCAATCCTTGTCCTTATCTTTTTTGTTTTGTTTGAGACAGTGTCTCACTATATAGTTCAGGTTGACCTCGAACTGCTGATGATCCTCCTGCCTCAGCCTCCCAATGGCTGGGATTACAGGAATGCACCATGCAGGGCAGTCTTTATCTTACACTCCATCTGGATAGTTATTACCTCAAATTAACAGCACAAGGTAGGATTTTTTTTTTTTTTTTTGGTACTGGGGATCAAACTCAGGACCTTGTGCTTGTGAGGTAGGTTCGGTGCCACTGAGCTAAATCCCCCGAGCTAAATCCCAGGCCCCAAGGTTGGATTTTATTATCTCTCCACTTTCTCTCTCACATAGTTTCCATGCTATAAAGACTGGCATTACTGTCAATTTTTTCCCCCTCATAAATACTGATGTAAAGTACCGTGTGTATCTTGGAAATTATTTATACAACACAATTTGCTACCCATTTTCATACCAATGTATTTACATGCCACTGTGATTTTAAACATCCCCAGAACATGGCTGGGGGTAGTGGCCTATAATCCCAGCTACTGAGGAAGTCGAAGGATCACTAGTTCAAGGCCACCCTGACAATACTATACAGTGAGATTCTGTATAAATAAAAAACATTTACAAGAGGATGTAAGTTCGATGCAAATACTCTCAGTAAAAAAAAGCCATTTTAATCTTGAAAAACAAAATGCCGATCTTAAAATTAGTTTTAAAAAGATAATTTTATACTTTAAAAAATCTATTTATACACTTATTTAGTGCTTGCTATATGTTAAGCACTGTCTCAGTTATTAATCTGGATTTTTAATTTTATGTAAGAGAATTCCATAACTCCTTAAACTGTGTTAACTAAATGATTTCTATTCTTTGTTCAACAAGTTGGAGTAAGAAATACTAATTAGCTGTTACTCCTTTTCTACTACCACTAGACCATAATTATTTTCAACACAGCAATGCCAAACAATGATGGTTCTTCCTGTTTGGCGGTTTCATTCCGTCCCTAATCTGCCAGGCCTAGGTTTGGAGTAATTTTTACGAACGTCGGCAGAACATCAGTAACCAACAAGTAGTATGATCTTTCAGCAGGGAGTGGCCCGAGTGTAAGGGAAAGGTGAAGGCTAGCTTTGCTCCGGCTACGCACGGAGCTGTCACAGCTAGAGATCTGATCATTAAAATGGTCCCTTCTCAAGAACTTTTTAGCAAGTAGGCTTCTCCAGGAGTAATAGAAGAGCCTGTTTAACAGTTACTTTTTTTTTTAAGGACACAAACGTATGGTAATGAAATCGTCCTTGATACACGAATAAGCAGCCTCTGGAAACTCAAGTGTGCGGAGGAGGAGGAGGAGGCAGGATAGAGAAACAGAAAGCCCAGATTGTCCCGAGTCGGGAGACATCCCCGACCGGCGGGGCCGGGCGAGCGCCGGGCAGAGCGGGGAGGGCGGCCGCAGGGAGGCGCAGGGGCCGCGGGAGCCAAAGCCCGCTCGGGTCGGCTCACCCGCGCGGGGCTTCGGCGGACGCCAGCCAGAAGGCTCCGTCCGGTCGTGCCCCGCCCATCCCTGGTGCTGGCAAGAAACAGGGCCGGGTAGGCAAGCAGGAAGAAGTCCTAACAGGGACGCAGGTCCCAAAGCAACAAGTGCCGTGGCAGCTCCCCAAGAGGCAGCTGCGCTGGACCAGGAAAACAAGGCCGACGCGGCGGCCTTCCAGACTTTCCTGTCTCAGCCCCTAACCCCACCGCACTCACTTTGCCACACCACGCTCTTCAGACCCCGCTCCGTCATCAGCGGCGCCATCTTCCCAGCGCTGTAGAAGACCAGCCACCGCCTCCCACGCGCAACCTACTTTGGCCCGCAAAGTGGCACTCCGTTGCCCCGCCCCCCCGCCGACCTCGCCCTCTGGTGACGTCACGCGCGTCAGCCCGGGTTGCCGCCCAATCCCGGACGGAGGCTGCGCAGTACGGGCGGAAGAGTCATGAGAATTAGGGCGTCCCTTTGCAGGGGGATGCAGTAGCCCGAGGTTCGACGTCCTGGGGCGACTGAAAGCAAAGATGAGAAATAATGTAAATACCGAATAGTTTCTCTAGTGTGAGAAGCTGATAGTGTAAACAAGGGTTAAAATGATTAAAATGAATAATTGATAATTTGAAATAGGAAAAAAGGTCCAAAGACGAAGGAGTGAAGGGAGGGGAAGGGGAAAGGAAAAGAGGGAAAGGAAAAACTATGAGAAAAGAAAAAAAAAAAGGAAACGAAATCTATGTAAATAGGGAAGGGCGGAGGGGGTGAAGGGCACACAAGTAATGGGGAAAAAAAAAAGAACCAAGGTATATCATGTACAGGTACAAACATCCAATGATAAATGTAAACGAATTGTATACCTAAAATGTACCAATAAAAGAACTAAAAAAAAGAGATGAGCAATAGGTTTGAACTGACCTAATCGACGAAGTTATGACTTTACACATACATGAGGAAGCCAGGAGCCTTCGCTTTACAAAAGAATACTTTGCGAAGGATTCATGATAGACTTCACTCAGTAGGCAGCTCAACGACTAGATCGAAAATCTTTCCCACTAAAAATTTCTTTCATTCATTTTTCAAGGATACGATCATTGTGTAGAACTAGGAAGTACCCTTCAGTGTCCCCAGAATTTTGTGCTGAGCTTTTAGGAAACTCAAAGAAATGAGAGACACTTTTCCTTAAGAATTCATAGTCTACGGCCGGGGATTTAGCTCAGTGGCACCGCGCCTGCCGTGCAAGTGCAATGTCCCGAGTTCGATCTCCGGTACCGAAAAACATACAAAAACAAGAATTTATAGTATAATTAATAAAGAGCACAGTTCTGAGCAGGCTGTGGGTAAACATTGATTGAAAAAGTGGATAGCTTGATAGAATATACAGTAAATTAGCCAATAGAACCACCGTTCAACAAGTGTGTGCAACAAACGTATAGAAGGGGCTATTAGTACTTTAAGAACCAAAATTATTGTTGAAAGCCGATTAACAGAGGAGGTGATTTGAGCTCAGACTTAGTTGAGGCAGAGATCGATTTAGAGAGTTATTTGGGGACTTAAAAGTATATCAATCATAAATTAGATCAGTTTAGTTGCTGACAGCCCTATGACATGAGCATCGAGTACACTGGCAGTACATTAGACATTCCTAGAGGGGTTTTCAAAGAAACAATAGTTTTAGTTGCTGACAGCCCTATGACATGACCATCGAGTACACTGGCAGTACATTAGACATTCCTAGAGGGGTTTTCAAAGAAACAATAGTTTTAAAGTTCCAAGTTGGTCACACAGTGAAAATGGTTAGTGACTACTACCACTAATAATGTCTAGTACTTACTGAGGGATTATTATTTGCCATCACCATGCAACCTAGATAATCTCATTGATCCTCAAAGCAATCCTTACAGGTAAGAAGGAAACAGACTTAATGCAGTTAAATTACTTGCCAAGGATGCACAGCTAGTGCTAGAGTAGGAACAGGAGCAGGCATGACATACACAGAAAGCAGTGGAGCAGTTTGTGGGATGATCTGCAATTTTTAGGAAAGAAAAGGAGACTGGAGCTGGGGATTTAGCTTAGTAGTTCTGGCACCTGCCTCTCAAGTGCAAGGTCCCAAGTTCAATCCCCAGTATCAAAATAAATAAATAAATAAAATAAAAGGAGACTGGGGAATAAAAACAACCTTAAAGTTGTCATGAATTGTTTGTAGTTTTGTTCTTGTTTTTTTTTTTGATTTGAGGTTTATATGGGAATAGAAGCTGAAGCCCTGCCCTCCCTTAAACCAACTTTAAATAGATTCAGTTGCTCAGCATTTTAAATAAATGCACATATTATTTCCCCTTCTCCTTTTAAAATCATATGTTAACTAAATTAATTCTTCTTCACCCAATGTGGACCACACTGTATTCTATGGAATTCTAACCAAGTAGTTCATCTTTAGATGCCTAGCTAAGCAGATGGTCCCTCTGGGACTAGCGATCCTGTCCTTCCATTTGCCCTTTGCCTGGGGTCTTTGGCTCTTCCAGTTAGGCACGGCCACAGCTCCATTCAGGGGGTGCACCTTGTCAGTAACTGAGCTCAGCACATAGTCTCACATGGGCCCTGGACCACTCTCCATGATGCAGCCAAGTTCTATACCATCAGGGCTGCCCTCAGTGGGCGTGGACTTTCTCTGAAGCCTCCAGATCTCACCAGTCTTTCCTCACGAGCCTCAAGCCTATAGCTTCTTAGCCTCCCATCACTGAAACTGTGATTCAAGGAAGAGCTTAGGGAGGGAAACCCTTGAAGATTCCCAAACCTGGGGCTGGGGATGCAGCTCAGCGATTGAGTACTTGCCTAGCATGTGTGAGGTCTTGGGTTCAATATCCACCATTGAAGGGAAAAACGTTTCCAAATTTGGCTACATGTCAAAATCATTTGGTGAGCTTGTTAAAAATAATGGATTCCCAGGCCTGGTCCCAGACCTGAATTTGAATCTCCAGGGGTGATGCTCAGGAATCTACATAAATAATGGATTCTCCCAAGTGATGCTGATGTACCTAGCCCAACCCAACTCCTGTTCACTCACCAGTGTTTAGGAATAAAACTGAATGAAACATAGCCCTCCTCTGTGTGTGCTCTTGGATGCATCAGATTCACTTCTGGGGATCAGTGCTTTTGGTTTTTCTCCCTTTCAAGTGCAAATACTCTGGGGGAAGATCTATCAGTCCCACATCACCTTCTTTCTCAGAGAACAGTTTGATTATCTCAGAAAAGGAAAGAAGATTAAAAAGGGCCATGCCAACCTGCCAACCACGGACATCCCTGGTTTCATAGCCATGCTTTGGGAGGAGTAAACACCATAGCCATGTGTGCGTGTGTGCATGTGTGTGTGCTACAAAAGTCCCACTCAAACTATTTTTAATTAGGTTCCTAGCATTAGAAAGACAAACATTTTTCTAAGTACAACAGATTTACATTATATATCACTGCTGTTCCTCTCCAACAATGAAAAAAGTAGTACAATGTGAGTGGGAGAGGGGGAACACAGCCAACAGGATTGATGACCCTTCCCCCTGAAAAGACGTGCCTGTTCCATTCTGTCACAACTCAAGGCTCTGCCTTTGGCTGTCCCTCCATCTGACACTTGTTCACCCAGAAAGCACAACTGCAATCCTTCTAGCAATGCTTTCCCTGACACTCCCTTAGATGTCAAATCATGTGACACTTTGGCTGGGCAAACCCCACAAGCAGCTCAGCATCCTCCCTAACTTGCAATGAATGGGCATTTGTTACCACAGGTTGCCCTGATAGCTGCGGAGACCTGAGCTGAAGTCCTGGCAGAGGTGTGTCTCAGGATAAGCGTTGTCCTCATGCGGGTGGCTTGACTTCTCTGGGAGTGCACATCTCCAGCCTTGAATGGCTAGTGGGCTGTATGACAAGTGCTGGTGTTGACAAAACACTCATGAAGTGGATGTGTTGAAGTCGATAGTGTTTCTGGATGTTTAATCTCAGAATTTCTGCTGAGCAGAGTTTTTCTGCCTCCAGGACTCTGGCAGTGTGCTGGCTCCCTCTGGCAGACTTCCAGAGGACTTTCTGGATCCATTTCTCTAGGGTCTTCTTTGCAGCTGAGCTGGAACTCCTTGGCAGGTGAGACACACCTGATCTTGCGGTCAGGAGGGACAGTCACTTACCCTCCTCAAGGACAAAAGAATCTTTGCTATCTTAGAAGTGTTTTTATATTCTAATAGATGTTTTCCATCTCTACTCGCTAACAACTGAGACAAGACTGCAAAAGAAATGGGAAGAGTTTTTTAAAACAAAGACAAAATTTTGTTCTGGAATCTCACAAAACCAAATTACATTACTACTACTTACTTGGTCAAGTCTGTTTTTATCAGGGCTTGCTGTGTCATTCTGCATCACTCTTCCCTCTGTAAATCACTGGAAAGGGCAAGGAAGGGTAGAGGAAGCAAGATGCATTAAATATGCAGACATTTTCTTAAACCAAAAAGCAGAAATATCACTGAGATTTTATTAGTGTGTTGGTTTGAAATGCAGCATTTTGCACAAGTAACGAGGAAAGTGAGACAATCTCAACTGTGCAAAGGGCGGCTGTCCACACTGACCAGCAGTTTCAAACTAATCAGAGTAATGTCTCTGCTGCTTCATGAAATGAATCCTCCTAAAGAGTGCCAGAACTCAGACTATTGACTTGGGACAAGAACCTTTCCTTTCCATCCGCGGGCCAACTTGCTGTGTTCCGCATGGAGCTCCAACATTTTGTTCATTCACGAAGTTGTGCAGAGGGAACATAAACCTGTTCACCTGCTAAGGGAATTTCAGAGAGACAACTTCCTCAAAGCTCCCTGAGATATGCAGATAAGCAACAGACAGGATGTTGAAGGTGAAGGACACCCCATGGAGGGACATCAGGCACAAACCCCTCCCCCCATCACCTCAGAGGTTGTTTTCCTCTCCCTTCCAACCTGCATCAAATCTCCAGCATCGAAGTAGCTTCCCTGAATTAGAGCTATGGTTTTCAAACGTTAGGGTGTGCTGGAAACACTTGGAGGGTATGTTAAAACAAAGGTGGCCAGGCCCCATCTCCAGAATTTCTGAGTCAGTAGTCTTTGGTGGAGCCCCAGAAACTGCATTTCCAAGTGGCTCCCAAATGATGCTGATGTGATTGGCCTCAGGACCACACACTGAGAACTAATAAACTATGATATTATGGAAGCTGAGGTTGAAATGTAAATATCTTGGTTAGAAGTAACATATTAAAATGTTAATAAATGGTATATGAGTATGATATGAGATTAAATTTATCAATTTATAACTACCTCAATTAATAACCACCATTTACAGTGTATTTACTACTTACTATGGGCCTGTCATTGTGTCCATTTAGTTCTCATTACATTTTATGAAGTGATTATTATTCCAATATCCAGATGAGGAAACCTAGGCCTAGAGAGAATCGAGACAATTTAAGAGCAAATGATATCCTCAGGATTCGAATCCAGATCTGTTTCTTAGACAGTCAATTCATGCAGGTAGCAAATCTAGGATAATCCAATAGTCAAGGAAAACCAAAAGTCTTGGGCCGGCAAGATTTACAAGGCTGCCCCGAGCATAGCCTTGAGTTCCATGTCAGCCAGCGTGCTGGTTTGACTTGTGCTGTGTTCAGAAAGGAGATGTTGAAACTAGAAACAACAATTTAGAACTCCCTCCTGTATACAGTGATTTTGCATGACTATAGAGGCCCTCAAATGACCTGGCTTACTCAATTTTTTAGAATCTTGCAGGATTTCTTTAAGTATCTCCTTTGAGAGAGGTTGATTAAGGAAGGGAAGAGCCGGGACAAACTGGAGCCCAATATGAGAGAATAGGGAAAATGGTGACCCAGGTAGACTTCTCAAATATTTTGTAGATCGGAATCACTCACAGAAGCACTTTGGCAGGACATGGCCTGGGCCTCTGGATTCTTTACTAGTTTTTCAAGAGGTTCTGATACCAGAGTTTAAGAAGCTTTACCTAAGCAGGGCTTTACGCAGTTGAACACACATGCAAATCCCTTGAGGATTCAGTAGGCCAGGCTGGGGCCTGAGATTGCACCTTTTTAACAGGCTCTCTGGTGATGTGGTTAAATGGCAAGGTCAAAGAGCAATGGTTTTCCAGCTTGTTTTGTTTTATTTTTATTTTTATTTTTAAAACATTGCAACTCTTTTAACAAAAGAAAGGGAGATCAATAGATACTATACCACCCCTCTCTGGCTGAAGGCCCTAAGACATTTCTACCGTTTTGCTCTAACTCTGGGGAAGACCCATTTTAAAACACCCATAAACTGGACAAGGTGGGCAGGCCTGTAATCCAAGCTACTTAGGAGGCTGAGGCAGGGTGGTCACAAGTTCAAGGCTACTCTAGTCACCTTAGCAAGACCTTCTCTCAAAATTGAAAAACCAAAGGGGTGAGGATTTACCTCAATGGTAGAGTAAACCTGGGTCCATTCCTAGTACTGCAAAAGAAAACAAACATAATACTGAAAATAGTTTCTAAGAACACAGATATAAGTCTGTATGCCTTTCCCTGATGACCAGGGCTCATGGTCACTAGAACTTTGGAAGATTTTTTTAAACTCTTTTTTCGGTGGTGGTAGTACTGGGGCTCAAACATGGGATCTTGCACATGCTAAGCAGTTGCTCTACTGATAAGCTACAACCCCAGCTCCTAAAGTAATTTTTTTATATAATTAGAAGTTTCCTCAGTTTGTTTTCACTAAGCCATGCCTGTTTTCCTGTAGTTACAGGAAACAAAAACTCTTGAAACATTAATGGGGATTGTGCTTATTTTAGACCCGTAGGTGGTGAGGTGGGGAGCAGGAATTGGAAAGTATGCATCCTGCTGTGTTTAGAGGAGTAATGGACTGGGAGAAGAAAGGAGCCCGGACAGAACCCAGGCAGTGGGGATGCACTCCAGACGCAGGCCCTGTCAGTGGAAGGAGGCACTGGGTGGGGAGCTGACCCGCATGGAGGCTGGTAGCTGGGGTCTGCTGGCAGGAAGGCTTCATCTCCATGCTTGAACTCTGAAGTCAGCCATGTCTGCATGGTTTCAGGGCGAGTTCTGTGGTTTCGAATTGATCATATTCCCTGGGATTTTTCTGAGGCTGTAAACCACACTGTTCCCTTGGGCTGGGGATTTAGATCAGTGGTTCCACCGCCTGCCTTGCAAGCGCAGGGTCCCGAGTTCAAACCCCAGTACAACAAAAAAACCCCACATTGCTCCCTAGAGGAGTGTGACAAGGATTCCTCATGAAGTGCATATGCTACTTCCTGGGTCATCTCTGCTGCCAGGCCCACGAATAATCTCCGTGGTGGCAACCAAAAGAGCCTAAGCAGGATCAGCCTGAGCAAAACTGAGTGGACACTGAGGATTGTTTTCACTCCCTTCCGCACCCTTTTTCTTCCACTGTGCATACCCAGCGCCGAAAACCAGAAGCAAACATCTTGGCTCTCACCAGACTAATGGATTCCCTCTCACACTTGACTACTAAAAGTGTGGTCAGACCAGTAGTATTGGCATCACCGCCCCTGCTTGGATCTTGTTAGAAATGCCATCTCAGGCCAGGGATTTAGCTCAGTTATTCTGCCACCTGCCTGGCAAGTTCAAGGACCAGAGTTCAATCCCCGGTACCAAAAAAAAAAAAAAAAAAAGCAGTCTCAAGCCTTGCAGTCTCAAGCCTTCCAGCACTACCGATGCAGAATCTGGCTTTAGCAAGGCCTGGGTGGTTTGAAGGCACCAAACACTTTGGAAGGTTCTGCTCTACAGTAGCAGTTATCACCCTTGGCTGCCTTATTAAGTTACCAGAGGAGCTTTTAAGAATCCTGATGCCTGGTGAGGCCTGGTGACACATGCCTGTAATTCCAGTGTTCTGGCAAGCTGAGGCAAGGTGATCATAAGTTTGAGTCCAGCCTGAAAAATTTAGTGAGATCATGTCTCAAAATAAAATATAAAAGGGGCTAGAAATGTAGCTCAGTAGTAGAGTGACCCTGGGCTCAGTCCCCAGAACTGGAAAAAAGATTTTCCTGGGACAGAATCCAGGCATCAGTTAATTTTAAGTTCTCCCCATCTGAAGTAGGAGGGATTAATGAATGCCTCCTCTGAACAATATTTACATTTTTTCTGTAGGACCCCAGAAGACTGAAAAGACTTCTGAATTGCAAAGAATTCATATCAACCAGGAGAATCTGAGGGCGGCACTAAGAGAGAGGAGAAAGAGGTATGGATGGGCAGGCAGGGTGCCCTTGCATCAAAGAAAGAAATCACGTGCCTTTCTGACTAACTGTAGCATCAGTGTTCATCCTGACTTATTAAGTAACACCAGAATTCAACAACGAAAAGTCCCTTCTATTTTATCCATAAAAAAAATGACTTACTCATTCCAAGTGTGCTTCCAGAGCAGGTTACTGTAATAAAGAAAAATACAAACACAGAAAATATACTTATTGATGTATTGAGATGGTAAAGATATAACTTAGTAAATAAAAGGAAAGTGAAGCAAAGAATGAATAAGAACAAATTTAGGTGATAAGAGGAGATACCTATTAGCAGTATGACCTTGAACAAGTCACTTCACTGTGCCTCAGTTTATCTATTGAGTGCTCAGAATGCCAGCCTCAAATGTTTGTTATAAGGCTTAAAAGGATTAATACATGTAGTGCTCTAAGGATAGCACCAGCACATAACACTTAATAAATATTCACTATAAATAGTGAATAGTGTAGCCAGGTGTGGTGGTACACACACCTGTAATCTCAGGACTTGGGAGGCTGAGGCAGGAGGATCGTGGCAAGTTCAAGGCTAGCCTGGACCACACAGTGAGTTCAAGACCAGCCTGAGCTACATAGCATGACCCTGTCTCAACAAAATAAAACAAAAACAAACAAACCCACAAATAATGAATGCTGTAAACAATATTGTCCTGATAATCAGAGTAAGGCATCACTGACATTGAAGCCAACAAAAGTACTTCTTGCAAAGTCATGGTTTTACCTGGGAGACTAAGCAATGGTGAATTACAAACTTGAGTCTAGACACTTAATCCTCACTAAGGCGAAATGACTGCAGGCTTGAGATGGCATCCACCAAAGGTTATCAGAATGCCAACCACCTGAGTCTTCTGACAGCTAACAAGCTATCAGAGGAATGACTCTCTAAGGATTGAATTGTGACCTTAACGCACAAAGGAAAAACAAAAACAAAATGTTTGCATTGCCCACTTGCCTGTGCGATAGCAGGCACATAAACTCATTTATTCGTTTTTTAAATTTAAAATGTTGGCCACATTTAGATGCTAAGTACTGATAGTCAGAAAAAGAATCATTTACTAGGGGAGATGGCACATGTTCAATTTACAATAATATATTGTGGTAATCATAATGGTGCCCTGAGGTTGTAAAGGAGGGAGGGAGAGGACTAATTTAGCCTATGAGAATTAGAGAAGTCTTCCCAGATGAGGGGAAATTTGGGCTGGTGGAGTTCTCTTGGTAGAAGTGGGATAGACGGCCATGCAGAGAAAAAGTAATGCATTTGCTCAGAAATATGATGCAATGTGGTTGGTATGCATGGCTGGAGCAGGTGTGTATGAAGGGCTCCATGTGACGAGACTAGAGGAGGGGATGATTTTTCTGTCCAGTACAGTAGCCACTCGCCACACATAGCTACTGAGCCCGGGAAATGTGGCTAGTCTGAACTGAGATGTATTATAAGTATAAAATACACAACAAATTTCAAAGGCTTAGTATAAAAAAATGCAAAGTATCTTAACTCACATACTGATTATTAGATGTTAAAATGTTTTAAGTATATTGGCTTAACTAAAATATATTATTAAGTTAATCTCACCTGTTTCGTTTTACTTTTTAAATTTGGCTGCTAGAAAATTTTAAATTTTCATACATGGCTCATGTTAAATTTGTATTGGATGGTGCAGATGTAGATAGACAGAGGGTGAGACACCTTCAGTGCTATGGTCAGAGGCTCGGATTGTATCCCATGGAGCAATGGAAAACATTTGAAGATATTGAAGCATAAAAGTAAAACAACTGGGCCGGGTACACTCCTGTAGTCCATGCTACTCAGGAGGCTCAGGTAGAAGGATTGCTTGAGCCCAGGAGTTTGAAGCCAGCCTGGGCAACATGTAAGATCCTGACTTAGGAAAAAAAAAAGTTTTAAAACCCCAACCAACCAAACAAGAAGAGAAGAGTTGTACAAAGAGATTTGGGAGCCTCTGAGCCCATTTCCTCATTTATAAACTGGCGATAATAAAATTTTTTGCATGTACCTCTTGGGGTTATTTTGAACATTCAGTGAGATGTGGAATAATGAAAACACTTGATAAATAGTGACATATTATTCAAATGTGATAAATTATTGTTAAGAAGCTATAGGCTCCTCTTACTAAGAGCTCATCCTCATCCCAAGAGCATGCTCCTGTCGATTCCCATAGGATTATGCTTTGGGCCAGCTTGTCTTGTGGACAAGATAATGAGAAAAGAAGGAATCAGAGCATGATATCCAAGGACAATGACAACACTCTTCTAGGAGGAGCTGGCCTTGTTCCATCACTAAGAGCCATCTGGAACCTCTTGTCACCTGCATTCAGTTAGAAATTTTGCATTCTGGTTTTCAGTAAAAGTTAGTGAGTCATTTATTCTTTATGTGTTTGCCTGCAAGCTTCTAGGGCTTTGTTACCTCTTTTCTTTTCTTTTAGACATAAATAAAAATTATGACTGTGCCCCGGGCAATGTAATGGAGGGTGTTGGAATGGAACACAGAGCAGGATTGCTAAAGTTTTCTGCCAGCTCTGATGAGACAGCATTGCTGCCAGTCAAGTTTTGTGATCATAGCCTGTTTGTCCACTTGTATTTCCAAACCTAGTTTATGATTTATAAATTCATGCTTTTTGATACTCTAAAATTTCCTCTGTCATAATTCCCAATCTGTTCAAATAGAAGTACGAGCCTCTTAATTTTCAATCTTCCATGGTGTCTAGCATTATCTTGAAGACTATGTTAAAAATCTGTCTCCAAATCTCCAATCATTTATAATTTGGTTTACCATTATATGGTAAATAGCAGCAAACATTTGGTCCTTTTCCTGAGGGGAAGAGAAGGAGAGGGAAGAGAAAAATATTTCCAAATTAAATAATAATAAAGCATCACAATTACAAAGAAGCTTAGGGTCCCTTGCAGCATGTAGAAATTTCACACATAGGAGAAAACAGAGATTGAAGATAATATCAGAAAATGGAAAGACATCCCTTGCTCCTGGGTAGGAAGAATCAACATAGTGAAAATGGCCATACTTCCAAAACTGCTATATAGATTCAATGCAATCCTAATTGAAATTCCAGCAGCATACTTTAAGGAACATCAGAAAGCAATCCAAAAATTCATTAGGAACAAGGAAAGACTTAGAATAGCAAAAGCAATTCTAGACAACAGAGACATGGCAGGGGGTATCACAATCCCCAACTTGAAACTATGCTACAAAGCTACTGTGATAAAAACAGCATGGTACTGGCAAAGAAATAGACCTGAGGACCAGTGGAACAGATTAGAAAATGCAGAAACAACTCCAGACACACTCAGCTACCTCATCTTTGACAAAGGAGCCAAACACCCTCACTGGAGGAAAGATAGTCTCTTTAATAAATGGTGCTGGAAAAATTGGGTTTCAACTTGCCAAAGATTAAAACTAGACCTATATCTCCCACCATGTACTAAACTAAAATCAAAATGGATTATAGATCTACATATTAAAACAGAAACACTAAACTGGCTGGAAGAGAGGTTAGGTGGAACTCTTGAAGACATTAGTATAGGAAAAGATTTTATGAACAAGTTGCCCATGAACTAGCACAAACAACAAGTGGGATCTCTTATTAAAAAGCTTCTGCAGGCCAGGGATTTAGCTCAGTGGTTCTGCTGCCTGCCTTGCAGGCTCAAGGACCCGAGTTCGATCCCTGGTACCAAAAACAAAGACACAAAGAAACAAAACCAAAACCAAAATTGCTTTGGCTGAATGTTGAAGCAAAAAGCTTCTGAGGGCCAGGGATTTAGCTCAGTGGTGCCACCACCTGTTTCGCAAGTACAAGGTCCTGAGTTTGATCCCCAGTATCAAAAAAAATAAAAAGAAGCTGCTGCACAGCAATAGAAACCACCAGTAGGTGTGAAGAGACAACCCACAATGTGGGAAAAAATTTTCACCTGCTGTTCCTCAGACAAAGGTCTACTATCTAGAATCTATAAAGAACTTAAAAAAATCAGACCTCCCAAATTTAAAGACCCAATCCAAAAATGGGCATCTGAAATGAACAGACATTTCTCAGACAAAGAAGTAGAAATGGCAAATAAATATATGAAAACATGTTCAACATCACTGGTCATTCGAGAGACGCAAATGAAAACAACACTGAGATTCCACCTCATCCCAGAAAGAATGGCTGCTATCAACAAATCAACCAATAATATATGCTGGCAGGGGCGTGGGGAGAAAGGAACCCTGCTCCACTGCTGGTGGGAGTGTAGACTGGTGCAAGCACTGTGGGAATCAGTATGGAGATACCTCAAAGAACTAGGACTGGAAGTCTCATTTGAGCCAGCTATTCCCCTACTGGGTATCTTCCCCAAAGAATTAAAAGAATCATACCACAGTGATATATGTGTACCCATGTTCATAGCAGCACAGTTTGTAATAGCTAAAACTTGGAAGCAGCCCAAATGCCCATCAACTGGAGACTGGGTAAAGAAAATGTGGTTTTTTAATAAAATGGAGTACTACTCAGCTATAACAAATGAGAAATAGAGACATTTATAGCTAAGTGGATGCACATTGAGGCGAGACTCTTAAGTGAAATAAATAGGACACACATGTGTAAATGCCAAATAGTTTCTCTAGTGTGAGCAAATAAAAGTGTAAATAAGGACTAATAGGTATAATAGATAATGTGAAATAGGAAGAAAAGGGGCAAAGGGAAATGGGAGAGGTAGGGGAAAGAAAAGAAGGGGAATGGAATTAATATGAGAAAATGAAAAAATGGAAACAAAGTTTTTGTAAATAGGGAGGGATGGAGTGGGTGAAGGGAGGGCAGGGGAATGGGGAAAAAATAAGAACCAAGAGAGATTATGTAAAGGTGCAAATTTCCAGTGATGAATGTTATTATAGTGTATACCTAAAATGTACCAATAAAATTAATTGAAAAAAATCCTCTCCTCTGATGAACAGATTTTGTACAAAGGCTAAAGCAACTGTGTTTGTAAAAGGTGGTCTGTAGAACTTTAACAGCTCCCACAACAATCACCAGAAGTGCTTACCCATTAGGAATGTGAGTTCTAAAGTCACAGACAAAAGTGTTCTTTCTCTGCATCTTACTAGTTTGTGAGTATAAGTCAATTTTTCTTTTCTTTTTTCTTTTTTTTGGTACTGGGGATTGAACTCGGGACCTTGTGCTTGCGAGGCAGGCGGCGGAACCACTGAGCTAAATCCCCGGCCTGTAAGTCAATTTTTCAACTAAACCCTCAGGTTCATCAATTGTATAAACTGAAATAACTGAACCTGTATGTCACAGCATTCTTGTGAGGTAAAATTAAATAGTCCAAGTAATGTCAGTGCCTAGCTCAATAATATATTTTCAATACTGAATATTTGAATACTGGATATCTTAAATATTGTTTAAAGAATTCAATAAAGGCAAGAAAGACACACACACAAAAAGAAATTTCACACATAGGAAATAAGTATTGCTGCTCTGAGTCTTAATTCCTAGATCTGAGTCAAAGGTTAGTTTTAAGTAAAGGGTCATAACTTGTTTTACCTGAATATATTTTTTTTGGACAGAAGGTAAGCTTCAGTCCTGTTTCACCAACTGGTGAGACCATCACAGTATACACATCCCCGCAGCGTATCTCAGTGATGTCACAGAAACTGAGGCCAGCCCTTGGGGCACATGTGAAGATGCCTTTGGAGCCATAGAGGTCAGTGCTGTAATTGGCAGAGCCTCTGGAGACTTGCCAGTAGATCCGAATGCCATTTGGGCCCAATCTATATAATTTCACCCCCAAGGGGCAGCAGGCACCTTTTAGACAAAGACAAACACAGACTCTCTTATTCCACCATCCCACAACATGGCCTTGGTTAGTTAGTACATGAAAAACATATAAATAAACTATTCTAATAATATGACTAATTACTTGTTAGAGTAGGGCAAGATTTGGAGGGATGTTCAAGTTCTTTCCATGCTGAGCCACAGAATCAGAAATCCACATATGAGGGTGGTATGGGGTGGGACTTTTTAATATAGAACAATGGTGATTCAAAAAGTTCCATACTTGGCAGAGATTCTGTATTGTACATGACTCAAACTATGAGTCAAATGCACGGGATCCTGTCAAGAGCCCTCGTAATGCCCTACTTTCATTTAATCTTAGTGGAATTAAGTTTAAATATAATTCATTGAACTCAGCTGTGATTGAAAATAACAATTTTCCTCAACCGAACAGCATGATGCCTTTGGATCAGCCACTTACATGACAGGCTGGTGACCACGTTGGTTGGTCATCCATGCTAGTTGATCAGGTACTTTTATGGGACCTTTTCTAAATACCTTGAGCAGGTATTATGTATCAAGCAGTAGGTGACACATTAAGTGTCAATCAGGCACCAAATGGTAGAGTCCTCAATAACTAAAATAAAGATGCTATTGTATAATTTTTTTAAAAATTGTTATTTATCAGGCAGGGGATTTAGCTCAGTGGCGCCATGCGTGCCTCGCAAGTGCAAGGTCCTGAGTTCAATCCCCGGTACTGGAAAAAAAAGAAAAAAAAGAAAAATTGTTATTTATCTTAAATTTACAAAATTGTTATTTGATGTATTCTTTAAAACAATTTTTTAGGTGTGAAGATAAGCAATGAGCCATATTCCCAGAATTGGATATCAAGGTGAGAATTTAGGCAGCAAATTTAATGGCCAAAAAGAAAATGGGCCAAAAGAAAATATAAACCACCTTATATATGTGCAGCACATGACATTATAATTTATTTTGATTCCAAAAACAACTTTGAAAGATAAGCTAGAAAGCTATTATTATCCCTGTATTTCTTACCAATGAGAAGACAGAATCATGGAAAATAGGGCAGCGCAGCTTATAAGCCATTTCTAACTTAGACTCCCAGCTGAAAACTTTTTCTACTATCTCCAGGATGCCAAAATTATTTCATCCCTCCCCTCCCTTGCCCCAGGCAGAAATAAACTGGTCATTGTATTCTTTCTCCTTAAACCTGACAGGCTCCCTCAGTAGTTCTTTCAAACAGTACTCCACACAGCCACTTTAATTGATTAAAATCATGCAAGAGGAATATTATTTGCTAGCCTAGCACCCTTTTTACTTTCCCATGTTATTTTCTAGTGGTTTGATCTTTGTGAAAAGAAAGATACAATACTGTCAGAGACAGATACATTTGTTGTCTCAGCCTGTTGAAATAAGAAACCATAGAAGGAGCTGGAGTGGCTTGGAAGAGAGAAAGGTGGTAACAGAAAAATAATAAATGACAACAATGGAAACCAAATGGAATGCATGATCCTGTGCTCTCTGAAAACTGCCTGGCTGAGTTACCCACTGGGCTGAAGGTCTCCATGTTACATAAAAATACACCATCCCTTCAGAAAACATATATCTGAACCTTGTTACCAATTTACTAACTACCAACAGAAGCTTCTGAAAGATTCAAGGTCCAAGTCAAGTGGAAACTGTAAACATTTTAGAAAGTATTATATGTTTATAAGGCAAGCTGCATAGAGTTGCAGCATCTTTTTGTATGAGAAGAAAAGGTTGTGCCTGGACTTTGAGCAACTGAGTCATCTCTTATACTCTAGTACTAGAGTAAAGAATTCACTTACTAGAGAAATAACTTTGGTAGGCGCAGTCTGAAGTCAACCCAGAGGCACTAATTGCTTTTAATGCCACTGTGTAGTTGACACCACATGTGATACATCCCAGGAGGCAGTGACTCTGATGGGTGTGACACTTAGACTGTCCAATGTGTGACTCCAGAACTATCACGTAGGTTTGGCCCACTGTCTCAAAACTCCAGCTCACATTGATTACCGACTGAGTGACTTGAGTTATCGTCAGACCATCTGGACAGCATGGCACTTAAATGAGAAAAAAGAAGAAGAAGTGGGGTTTTATTTCTACTGGAGATTATCTGTGGAAAAAACAACAACAAAGAATGAAACTTTGTCTGTATTTTATTCAATATTCTAGATTTCTCAAACTATCCGTTGTTCATCAAAAACTCTCTTTGTTCATGCCTCTGATACCTCTTGTAACACCAACTGTATACAGTGTGTACTCTTGCCAAGAACACAGTACACTACCAGGTTATGAGTGATGTGAGGTTCCCCAATTTTTTCCTTTCAGAATAAGAAAGAAACCCTTTGTTGTTCCTCAACTTGAACAATTCCAGTTGCAAATTTTAAAGCAATGGTTGCGTTCATCTCTTCTCCTAATAATATTTCATATCATTTGCAATAAAATGTATTTTGCCTTTGTGGAGCATTTCATAGTATGTCACTGCTATGAAAGCTTGATTTCTTAGGCACCTAAGAACAGCTGTCTCAACTTTCCAGGAACCACTTATACAAGATGTAGGATACTTAGAACCGTCAGGTGTATTTAGCATCTTCTCTATTCTGCTGCTTTTTTTTTTAAGTTGTTTTAATTTTTATAGCCCAAACTGTCATCTATTGTTGTATATAAAGGAAAATAATGTCCAAAGAAATGAAATAATTTGCTAAATTTCATTCATACACAAGGTTATGAAACAGTAACAGTTTTCTTGTATGAATCTCTAAGTACTCACCAGGTACTACACTGAATGTTTTGCAGCATTAGTTAACTTAATGCAACCACCATATAAGACTATTGTCTTCCTCTTACTGATTAGGAAACTGAAACTCAGGAAGTATTTTTTAAGAGAAAGATATGAACATGCTGAGTCAAATAAATAATAAATCATCTCATTTGGTTTAGTTGTTAGATGTTTTGGTGGATGGTACCATGAGAGAATATAAACGCTAACAAATGCTTTGGTGGGGGGCGGTACCGGGGATCAAACTCAGGACTTTGCACTTGCGAGGCAGGTGGTGGAGTCACTGAGCTAAATCCCCAGCCCTCTAACAAATGCTTCTTCAGAGTCCATGTGGTACTCTTTTGATGCCAATGTAAGACAACAGTAGAGTCTTTTGGTGATATTTTTACAGAACTTGTAAAATGTTGAAAGTTCTATTTTCTGAGACTGGGGCTTTTGAAAGACCCCCGTGTTTACTATATTTCTGTTACACTTAGGGTAGATTAAATGAAGTTTATGTCTTAAAATGATTCCTAAGGACCCTAGAGAAGTCAGCGTTCAGGCTGACGGTCGGTTGTTACATACCTGTTTCCAGTGGCATACTGTAGCTGGGCAGGCTCCGTCCTACCTCTGTTTCAGCCACAGCGGTGACAGAGAACACTGAGCCACAGGGCAGGCCCCCCATGGTACAGCCCTCTCCCTTGCTGCTGCAACGATACACCCCCTTCTCCCCCTGGGCAGTCACCGTGTAAGTGGCATCATCATTAGTGGCTCGCCAGCGCACATTGATTGTGGAGAATGCATCCTTTGAAATATTTCTTATCTCAGGACTGCAAGGACCTAAGAGATTTCAAGTTATTAATTGAAACAGCTTGAGTCAAAAAATATCATCTGTGCTGTTTGGCCTAAAACTGATTTTCCCAAAATATGATCACCATAGTTTTTGACTACACCAGGCATGTAAGCCAAATTCATAGAGCCTCTGTGTAGAAAACTGTTGACACTGAAATAGGGCACTGGGTTCTCCTGTATGGTTGGACTAATTGGAAAATGTTAAAGAGCATTTTTTACTCAAAGGTAAAAGTAACTAAGACAAACATTATTTGCACACCTTCATGGTGTGTATACAGGCAAGTCCCCCGAAGGTAAAAGGAACCAAATGGCAGAGGGACTCATTTGCAAAACTTTCCCCTTTCCCCATGGCCCCCTTTTTTGTTTTCTTTCTTTCCACCTTTTTCTTCCACCTTTTCTTCTGCCTCTCTCCAATACAACAGGGGCTCTGCTGGTCCCCACTGAGTGGTTAATGGAATTTAACCTTTTTCTAAGTCTTGCTGTACGCTGGACCCGAGGCACATAATGGGGTGAGGGAATCATTCAGCCACCAGTGCAAGAAAGGCTAGTTGTACTGTACCTGTAGTGATAAGGTGGGAAGTACATGACATGTTGCTGCCTCGGACTTCACTGAACGAATACACCGTGACATTGTACTTGGTGTCACACTCCAGAGCAGAGAGGGTGCAAGCAGTAGCAGTGTCATTGCATTCCACGACGTTGTGCCCAGCTACAGCCTTGGTTTCATAGAGTTCGGCACCACGGACAGGAGACCAGACAATCTCCACTCTGTCACTAGACACCAACACAGGGTTAATGTCACTAGGACAACAGGGAGCTGAAAGCAGAAGCAGAGAGGGAACCGAAGTCAGTACAAAAGCAATGCCACCAGAAGGAATCATTGAGTCCTGACTTTCCCATGGCCAGAGCCTCTGCCACTGTCCTCTCAAACGACTGCAAAGAGCCTCCTCCAGGTCTGTTCCATTCCAAACTTCATATAATTCCCACTGCACAGAGGACAAATCCTCAGCGTGACATTCAAGCACAGCAAGTTGTAATGTTCAGCTGTGATTTCTCCACCTCTGCCATGTTAGACTTCTCAATGCCCTACCTCACATGTGCTCCTACTTCTGTATGCCTTGAAGACGCCTGAACCCTCTGCTAGAAGTCTTTCCCCTTTTCCACCAGATATAGTGAAACTTGGTCTAATTTTTCAGATCCTAGCAGTCTTTCCAGACATTAAACCAGACACAGCTGGGTTATGTGGGGGAATAAAAGGTAGAGCAGATTACACAAGTAGCCCTAAAGAATTCCATTGATAAATGTCTAACTCAGCTTGGGGTTTCTTCGAGATATCCTGCTCCACCCAAATTCTATCCATTCTTTTACTCTAGTTCAAGGCCACTCTGGAAGATTCTCCTCTGTTCTTGAGACCTTTTTTTTTTGGTACTAGGGGTCAAACTCGGGTCTTTGTGCTTTCGAGGCAGGCACCGGAACCATTGAGCTAAATCCCCGGCCCCTCTTGAGACCTTTTGGATAGACTCTTACTCCAGATTCCAAAAGAACCAATTATTTGGATCCCTCAGCCTGATAAAATTTATTATAATTCAGCTAGTACTTTTACATAATTATATTACTCTTCTTTGCAAATATAGTTAATTTTTTTTCCCATTAAGTTTATTGGTACATTTTCGGTATAAAATACAGTTACATTCATCACTGGGATCTTGTACCATTACATGAGTATCATGGTTCTTTTTTTTTTCCCCTTCCCTTGCCCTCCCTTCCCTATTTGCAAAGACTTTGTTTCCATTTTTTTCCTTTTCTCATATTTTTTCTTTTCCCTTTTTTCCTTTC